TAGCTCTTTATAGCAATGTGAGAATAGACTAGTAAAATATCTCTAGTATTATGTTTTTGGAGATGATTTTAAAATAAACAAATATTGGAAACCTCATTTGATCACATGGAGAACATTAAATGAAAGTTCTACTTTTTTTCCAGGGCCTTTCTCATGCTTAAGCAGGGATTATTCACCCAGATCTCCTGAAATAAGGTATCCAGTTAGGTACCTGCTATCTCATCATGTAACTGACAGAAGAAAGTTGAGCATAGAGGTTAAACATTACCTAATATTGTTGGAAAAGTTTCTAAGCATTCATTTTCAAAGTAGTTCATGTAAACCACGATAATCACTAATAGCACTATGCTATTTTAAATACTTCAGTATTTTGTAGTTATTAGATTCTAAGTAAGTATAAAATGTAGTGAATAAAAATTTTATTTGACGAAACAGTGTTAGAAAATATAAATGAATGAGTTTATTTTTATTCTGTTTAACATTTAAAAATTGTATTTGCCTAAACAGTGTTAGACAATATAAATGAATGAGTTGGTTTTTATTCTGTTTAACATTTTCAAGCCAATAAACACTTTACTAATAGTAGTATAGAGTAGCTATTCATTATTACCCTGTGTCTTATGTTTATGATGTTAGGAATGAATAGAGATGGTTAGCTGCCTGGGTATCTGTTGAAAATTCTGCTTAAACTATGTATTATTCTATACATTTCAATAATTTCTTAGAGATTCACTTTGTAGTTTAGTTATAAGTAATTTATAATTCTAATAGGAGTCAAAACATTTGTGGGAAATGCTCTCTGACAGTTACAGCTTGATCATGAGAACTGCTTTTAAGGTTTTAATTAGAAAGGTCAGCCTGCATTATTTAAACCCTTCCTATGTATTCTTTGTATGCAATTCATTTTCCAGTGACTCAAGGGAATTAAAAGAAAAGTCTCGCAAAAGCAAACAGTAATTTTGGAAAATATTTATAACTGAATACAAATCTGTAAAACTCTCCTTACTTTGAGTCTCGTTTGTCATAAGTTTCTAGCTCAGCATTTGATGGCTAGCTAACTCAGGAGGTGTTGGTGTTGGGCAGGGTAACCTGCTGAGTCTGATGGTTGTGATTTCTATGGCTATGGTTTCTTTTTAATGTAATTTGGTCTTGAATTCTGTCATGAGCCTGGCCATAAGCCAGGATACCTGCCCTCCGGGAGAACCCTGACCAATGGAAAGTTAAATATGGGTGTGTGTGTGTCAGATGAGACACAATGAGGAAGTAAAACCAAAATGTATGAGACAGAAGAAATTTATTACTCACAGGACCAGAGAGGTAAAGGGTGCTGATGGGGGGACGGCAAGAAGCTCAGAGGCAGCAGGGAGCTCAACATGTGGGTGTTGGGGAAGAGAGACAGAGAAAGAGAGAAACCTGTGGGACTATAAGTTTATTAAGGTCCATGGGCATTATTCCTTCGGCTTTCCTGTGATAGTTGTGGATTGGCTAAAGAAAATACGGAAAGGGAGAACTTATTTACATAACTCTGGTGTTAACCATGTGTTTTATTGTGGTTAGCAGATGTGGGGTGTGTTGGATTTTCGACCAGTGAGAGGAGGCAAAGGCAGGCTATATTTTAAACAACGGCTATGGGGAGGGGAAGTTGTAATTGAGCGAAAGCAATGGGGTTGGACTAGGTTTCAGACAACTTACATCGGGTCTGAAACTGAATGCTGAGGCAGCAGCTATATTAACAAATTTATGACAGTGATGCTGGCATCATTTACTGCTTTTAGTTCAACCCTGCAACAGGCTATCAAACATAACCATTTTGCTTTCTTATACTTGCAAATGAGAAACATCATTAAATAGGCTATGTAAAAAAATAAGATTTTTTAGAAATAGTGTCTAAACAGAATGGCCAATGCCACTGATAGACATAAAATAATGACCATGCTTATTCTCTTTCATTATTTGATCAGTTTATCCAGATACATTATTCAACACCCTTAGTCATAAAGTTCTTGAAGCATCATTTTTTGCTCCTCATAGTTCGTATTTTCTTGCACTTCTAAATCTATGGTTAATGAACAAAGCATGCACGCACAATCATTTTAAAATAAGTGTAGTCTGAGGGAATTTTTAGATAATCTAGAGATTTTTAGGTAATTGAGAGTTCTGAAAAGAATGCTTCAGAAGTCAAACCTTGGACTCTTGTAGCAAGGAAACAAACAACAAAATGTAACCTCTATATGAAAGAGACACAAATAGAAAACAAGGAAATCCTTAATATAAAGAGGACTCAAGTCAGTTAAAAAAGCAATATTTCTTTCTTAGGTTCAGTAATTCAGTATTCATAAGAGATAAATCTCCCTCCACCACCATGACCCTTACACATACATGCTGCTCTTTAGCGTTAGCAATGAACTTTATTATAACTTATTTTGTGTATGTGTAAAATTAGCATCAGGTCTGAGATGAACTCCAAGCCTCTGCATTCTTGCCTGTCTTCTCTGGAATTACTGAGGGACTACGAACTATTGCACCAGGAGGGGAGAATATAATGGCCAATTTATTAACGTGTATCTGCATATATCTTGTTGTTATTTGCAAGTCTTAATGCTAAACAGTCACTTCAAGTTTTATAGGATGTAATCTGGTACATGTAAATAAAACTCAGATTTCTTGAAAGAAAATCATAAAAGTAGCACATTGCAATCAAAGAGCAGATGTCTTGTGATGTCAAGCTGAATATTTATGGTCTCACTATAAGCCCATCCCTGAAACTGACAACAAATTACAAATTATTTGAATATCTTAAAGAGAATGATTTTATTAGAAAGGTGTTAAACTTTGCTTTGCAAACAAACAAATAAAAAACAAAAAGATTTTTAGTTCTAAGAAAAGGGAAAACCCCCACACAATACTGAAGTAGAAAAATTCAACCATGTATTCAAGAGTTTCTGATTACTAGTAATGAGTGACCCAGAACAACTAGGTTAGACTTCTTTTAATTAGATTGTGCTAAGTACTCCAACATATGTGAAAGATGAAAAAATTATTCTTAATTTGATTCTTGCTAATTTAAATTCTCAAACAAATTAACATTAGTGATTAAATTTGACACATAAAAATGTTTAACATCTTATTGCTTATTTGGCCTTGGAAGTGTTTCTAGTTTATTCTGGCTCTTCTGCAGAAGGTCTCAAAAAGAAATGTGGTAATTTATCTTCTGTAGTCAAACATGTCACTTTTGCTTTTTATGAGGCAGAGGGGATACCGTTATTCACCATTTTTCTGCTATGTTAAGATTTGGAAGTTCATTTGGTAGAACCATAAATAAGGTCATCAAAATCCAAATGCTTAAGTGAAACTTGAGCACCCTCTACAACATTCCTAAAGTGTTATTTTGTCTTTGCTGGATATTACAGTGATCTGTTAATCTGATCCATTTTTAGAGGGTTGTATCATTCAGAGTTTACTCAATGATATGGTTTGGCTTTGTCCCCACTCAAATCTCATCTTGAGTTGCAGCTCCCATAATCCCCATGTGTTGTGGGAGGGACCCACAACACAGCAAGAGGTAACTGAATCATGGGACCAGGCTTTTCCCGTGCTGTTCTTGTAATAGTGAATAAGTCTCATGAGATCTCATGGTTTTACAAAGGACAGTTTCCCTGCACATGCTCTCTTGCCTGCTGCCATGTAAGATGTGCCTTTCCTCTTCCTTCACCTTCCACCATGACTGTGAGGCCTCTCCAGCCATGTGAAACTGTGATTCCATTAAACCTCATTTTCTTTGTAAATTACCCAGGCTATGGTAGGTCCTTACAGCAGTGTGAGAACAAACTAATACACTCACCTAAAATAATTTTGATTGAAGGCTCACTATATGACACAATCCTAAGAAACAGAGATACCACACTGAACCACACAGTCCCTGGCAATGTGGAATTCAGAGGCTGTTTTTTGACATTATGTCAAATTCTACCTAACTTCTATCTTTTGTTATCAGTCTTTCATATATCAGCCTTATATTACTAATCTGCAAACTTAATGAGGTCTTCTTTTGTTAACTGATCTCTAAACTGATGATGTGTTCATCACATCTGAAAAGAAATATTTTAAAGGTGAAAAATTTGAGCTGGCAGTGGTATAGGTTACCTGTAAAACATTTCGATAAAAATATGCATGATTCCGAGGCAGAAACATATACACTGAAAATTTACAATTTTCCTTTCTCTGGTCCATGTTCCTGGGCTTGCTTCATTAAAGCTCAGTGAGTAAAACTGATTGACAAGTAAGGCAATGTAAATGCAAATGCCTGACTCCACAATAGGACAGCCCCTTCAGAAAGGAATTGATGGCTCTATAAATATGGTACCAACTAAACACTCATGTACTGAGGATCAACTACAAAAAATAGTATTTTGTCCTTAGAAATGTTTTGTTGTTACCTTAGAGATAGGCCCTAAATTATTTTTTAATGATATATAATAGACATGAATTATCTGTAGGTTATACATGAAAAAGGATTCAGCATATAGTCTCATGCCATGAACAGACCAATTATTCTTTGAATCAAACCTTCCAACACCAATAATGGAATGCCAACCATATTTTCTTAATTGGCTCATGAATGTGTTAAGGCGACTGGAGTTATGATTCTTTGCATATTTATTAATTCTATGTTTTACTGTTTATCTTGAAATATTAACTTTGACAAAGAAAGAACTAATGTTGATTTGATTTATTTTTTTAATTCACAGAAAATATTTTATGTCTCAATTTACTATCCTCACAATATATACAGAATAGTAATGATTTTCTTCATTCAGTAAAATGGTAGATGGGTTATTTCCAGCACATTCTTTATTGTTATTAATTCAAAGCATCCTCAATAGTTTGAAATGTTACATCTACCTTGTCAAGTAGATCCAGTTGTTATAACTGCCATTATACAGACTATTCTCT